AAAGTGCTGGGATTACAGGCATGAGCCACTGCGCCTGGCCTGGGTCTATCTAATTGTGAAGTGCAGATAATGAGAGTGCCCACCTTGGACACTGGGGAAGACTTGGGGAAGAATGCCAATAGGGAGCCCACCAAGTGGTAAGGGTGGGGTTAGGGGTAGGAGGCTGGTGGGCAAAGGACTGGGTGTCCCCTCCACAGACTATATTTGAGATCAACGCCTCCAGCCGAGACCTGTGCAGTCAGGTGATGCGCGCCAAGCGGCAGAAGGACCACAAGGCCATCGCCCGCTTCCAGCAGCGACAGCAGGGGAGGCAAGAGCAGCAGGAGGGCCCAGTGGGCCCAGCCCCGAGCTGCCCAGCACTGCAGGAGAAGCAGCCTGAGAAAGAGGAGGAGGAGGAGGAGGAGGAGGAGGCGGCGGGAGAGAGTGTGGAGGTACAGGTTCCACCCTGGGGACCCTGGACCTGGGGTACAGGGAAGGGGTGGCTGAGTTGCAGCAGCCCATGAAGCTGTTCTAGGGGCTTTGAGCAGTGGATGAAGGTGGATGCTGTCAGCTTCCCATCTGCAGAGTCGGGGTATGGTTCTTGTCCACTGTCCCTCGTTTAAAACTGGGGCCAGATCTTTAGCCTGAGAAGCTGTGTACAACATGACACCCTCAGTGGGGTCCAGGGCATCACCAGCCACCAAACACATCAGGGCTTCTGCAGTGAGACGTGCGGGTCTCACTCAGAGGGAGGACCATGAAGTGTCCCATTCACCTGGTGGGTGGGTCTTGGGCCTGCATGTCCCCCAGGATGTCCCTCTCTCATGGTTTGTTTAGACAGAGGGTTCAGTAGCCTAGAAGACCAGTTGGAGACCCCTGACCTAGTCCATGTTGTTCAGAGCAGGCCAGGCGCAGAGAGGGGCAGGGCTGGCTGTTACACAGCCTGGGGCGCGGAGCTGGAATGGGGAGTTGGGTCTCCCCCGGCCGGCACTCTCCGCCTCACCTAGGTGTCCTGCCTCTGCTGGTCCCTGAGGCAGGGGTTGCGCTGTGTGTGCAGATGAGGAAACTGGGGGTCCCACAGGAGACACTTGTCACCCAGCTAAGAAATGGCAAAGTGAAGCTTTGAAAGTCCCCGGGAAGCCACTGGCCCCTGTGGCCAGGGTGTTGGGTAGGGAGGCTGTGGGGACTCCCCAGGGGGCTATAGGCATGACGCTGGGCCTCGGTCCGTGCTCTGCCAGGACATTTTCTCAGAGGTCATGGGCCGGAAGCAGCAGCGGTCAGGACCCAACAGGGGAGCCAAGAGGCGGAGGGAGGAGGCCTGGCAGCGGGACCAGGAATTCTACATCCCCTATCGGCCCAAGGACTTCGACAGCGAGCGGGGGTGAGTGGCTGGCTGGGTCCTGGGTGGGGCAGGCGGGTCTGCTGGATCCTATCAATCCAGTTATGTCTCCTACCTTCCCTCTGCAGCCTGAGCATCAGCGGGGAAGGGGGAGCCTTCGAGCAGCAGGCGGCTGGCGCTGTCCTGGACCTGATGGGGGACGAAGCCCAGAACCTGACGAGGGGCCGGCAGCAGCTCAAGTGGTGAGTGAGCGAGTGACCCACCCATCCATGCCCCGGGTGAGTGAGCGAGTGAGCTGCCCATCCATGCCTGGGGTGAGTGAGTGAGTGAGCTGCCCCTCCATCATCCATGCCTGGGGTGAGTGAGCGAGTGAGCTGCCCCTCCATCATCCATGCCTGGGGTGAGTGAGCGAGTGAGCTGCCCCTCATGCCAGCAGGCAGGGTGAACTCCCTGACGTCCTCACTCCCATCTGATCCTGTACAGCCTGGATTATGACCTGGCTGTCCCCCATGTGACCATTCACAGCAGGTGTGATGGCCCCTGGCTGTGCTGTCCCCTTGATTTGATCACACACCACAGAGATCTTGACCCCGTCTATCCTTTTTGCTGGCAAGTCTTTCTAGACAGGGCTGAGGACCCATTTATTCAGGAGGACTCTTGTGTCTAGAGGATGTATGTGACTCAACCAAGGGTCACAGCTGGGAAGGGGGAGGGGATTGGAAACCCTCCAGAAGGCCCTTGTCCCTGAGCCAGGCCCCAGTGCTGGCGGCAGTCCTCTGACCTTTATTGAGTGCCAACTGCATGCTAGACGTGGCTGCACTGCTTTCTTTTAATGCTCCAACAACCTGACAAGAGGGTTGGGTGAGGAGACAGGCCCTGAGCGGGAACCGGCACTCCAAGCGTTTCCCTCCACGGCAGCCGTCCCAACTCCCTCTCCTGCAGGGACCGTAAGAAGAAGCGGTTTGTGGGAAAGTCAGGACAGGAAGACAAGAAGAAGATTAAGACAGAGAGTGGCCGCTACATCAACAGCTCCTACAAGCGAGACCTGTATCCTGAGGGGCGTGGCCGGGGAGGGGCGGGGCCGAGCAGCTTCAGCAGCAGCAGCTCCAATTAAGTGGGACCTGGGGGCGGGGCTGGGGATGAGGGGCCGGAGCTGAGCGGCTTCAGCAGCCACATCTCCAATAAGTGGGACCTGTGCTGGGGGCGGAGCCCAGCAGCTTCAGCAGCAGCATCTCCAATAAGTGGGACTTGTGCTGGGGGCGGGGCCCAGCAGCTTCAGCAGCAGCATCTCCAATAAGTGGGACCTGTGCAGACTCCAACAAGTGGACCTGTGTTGGGGCGGGGCTCCAGCCGGGCCCAGCAGCTTCAGCAGCAGCATCTCCAATAAGTGGGACCTGTGCTGGGGGCGGGCCTAGCAGCTTCAGCAGCCGCATCTCCAGTAAGTGGGACCTGTGTGCTGGGGGCGAGGCCGAGCAGCTTCATCCGCGACTGGGATAACAGAACTGTGTCTGCTGGGGCGGTGTGGGGAGGAGCCTTCTCCCATCCCAGGGGGTTCACGCAGCTTCCTTAACGAGGTTTCCCAGCTATCAGAAGTGGAAACAGAAACAGAAAATTGATGATCGTGACTCGGACGAAGAAGGAGCATCTGACCGGCGAGGCCCAGAGCGAAGAGGTGGGAAGCGAGGCCGTGGCCAAGGTGAGAGCCAGGGAGGGTGGGGAGTATGGGTGCACAGGTAGGTAGAGCAGTTATGGTCAGATTAGGGTAACACTGAGGCACGGGTGCAGGGGCTACTGCAGAGCCCCAGAGCTCGGTGTGTCGGGGTATGCTGCCAAAACCCTGGGTCCCTCTATGATCCCCCCACCCAACCCCCACACCCACAGGTTCCCCCTTCCTACTATCCCGGTCTCTGATGGTCACGAGCATCACCTGACAGGCGCTGGGAAGCACCGTGCCCCTCAGGTGCCTTGTCCCCGACCTCCACTTCACAGATGAAGCCACGGGGATGACTTCTGGTAGATGCCCTGTTCACCTAATTAAGCCTATTGTCTAAAATCCTAGAGAACTCGGGAGGTGGAACCTTGTGGGAATGCTGCTATGTGGGCCATTTTCACCTGCAAAAATGGCATCTGCATGTGGTTCGACCTGACAGAGTGGGCATGAATTGAACCCCTGTGGCATCCTCAGGAGTGACGTTCTTTTTAGCAATGCTGTGGGGAAGTTCATGTCACCAAAGACGCAGTCAGAAGCAGCTTTGGTTCCGGGAGGAGGCGATCACGGGGGATGTTGAGGAAGATACTTCCTCGAAATGTGGGTTGGCAAATAGTACATTTGGTCATTTGAGGACTTCGACCTCTTTGATCTGGCCTGGGTCCCTCAGCCAGTAAAAGGCTAAGGTGGATTTGAAGCTGGCTCTGTCTGCCAGAGCCTGTGCTTAAGGGCTGCTGTCAGGGAGGGGCTCCCACTTGCTGGGTGTGGGCAGGCTCTGTCCTGGAAGGCCACACATGACCTGGGAGGCAAGGTGACTGCGAATACCCATTTTACAGGCCGGGAAACAGGTGCCTTATGAGGGCTGTGACTGAACCTGAGTCACCCAGCTGCCCAAGGCTCCCACCTGGGGCCTTCCCTGGGGAGAGGGGAGTTTGGGACCATGTCCTGGGTCTCTCTCAGATGGCGTTACCCACTGCTGTGCCCCTCCACCTTCTGAGGCTGGTCACTGCCTTCTCTGGGTGTCTCTATGAGCCTGCGTGCATTTGCCTGGGCCTGTTCTCTCCCTCCAGCTCTCCCATCTGTGGGAGTGTCTCCTTGTCAGCGTGGCTGGGTGGGGACCACCCACACCTCACTTCTCAGCCTGTTTTTACCTGGGTGAAACAGCAGCTTCTGCTGTGAGCAGTGCCGTGCAGTGGGCGGGCAGGGGCTGGGGAGATGGGGGCGACCTATGGGCTTTGGGAGAAAGCAGCTGTTCTTCCTTTTTTGTCCTCATTGGAGGTGATAGGTCCTGCGAGGCACCCTGGCTCCACTGGAGACAACTGGGAACGCCCCAATGGTCATCCCTCTAGGAGCGCTGGGGAGGCTGCTGTTATGAATGGGGAGGAGGAGGAGGACACAGGACTTAGTGGGAGCCAGGGAGAGTGGTGCTTGCCTCTCGGAGAACTAGAAGAATGGACTACCTGACGCCCACCTGTCGGGCTAGGGCAGGGCCGCTGACCTCTGCTGCTGCTGCTTTGCTGTGTGACCTCAGACAAGTCCCTCTCCCTCTCTGGCCTTCTCTGATTCCTCTCCCACCTAAAGGAAGGTTCATCTACACCCTTTTTTCATCTAACAAGCCTAGAGCATGGTGTCCATGGAGACAGAGGCTGAGGTCTGTTTCGGTTACTATGGGGGGCCTCAGAGCGTGCAGTAGCAGTAGGTGTGCTGTGGAAACATACACTCCTTGGTTGGAGAATTTTTAATAGTAACAGTCATGCCTAAAAGGCTCTCACTATGGGCCAGGCCTTGTTCTGAGCACTTTATACCATGGAAATGCATTTTCTCTTCACCCATGAAGGAGGTGCTGTGATTTATAATTCACAGATGGGGAAACTGAGGCACAGAGCCGTTTACTGACTTGCCCAGGGTCCAAGAGGTCACAGCTGGGATTTGAACCCCAGCAGTTCTGGCCCCATGTTATTGACCACTCCATGAGGCTGCCTAAAGCTTTATTAGCCACCTACTGTGTACAGACACTGGGCCACAGCAATAAGCACAGAACAGGAGGAGGGACAGGGAAGGAGTCTGCGAGCTCCTGGGAGGAGGGGATCTTGGGAGTGATTCCAACAGCTGAGCTCCCTGAATCCCTGTCCCAGCAGGTGCATCCCGGCCCCACGCCCCAGGCACCCCTGCAGGCTGCGTCCGCCCGGAACTCAAGACCAAGCAGCAGATCCTGAAGCAGCGGCGCCGGGCCCAGAAGCTGCGCTTCCTGCAGCGTGGTGGCCTCAAGCAGCTCTCTGCCCGCAACCGCCGCCGCGTCCAGGAGCTGCAGCAGGGCGCCTTCGGCCGGGTCGCCCGCTCCAAGAAGGGCAAGATGCGGAAGAGGATGTGAGGACCGGGACCCAGCTCCGTGGCTCCTTGATTGGCCTTAGGGTGGGCATCGGCAGACGTTCCTGTGCACCACTGTGTGCCTGGCCCAGTGCTGGGCACAGGGGGCACTCCCTGCAGGAGCCATCATCCGTGAAAAGGAGCACTGTATGGCCACGGAAGGGCAGCAGCTGCGTCAGCCGAAGACAGAGACATTTGAGCAGGGCCTTGAAGGGTGTGTAGGAGTTCGGCAGCAAAGCCAGGCAGGCCAAGACCTGAGTTGGCAACTCAGCTGCTGCTGCTTCCATGTGTTCTGGGTTCAGAGGTCATGGCTGCACCAGTCAGAGCCCTGAGTGCCTCAGGGTTTGGCGATGGAATTTTTAATATAATAAATCTTTATTGAGCACTGCTGGTGGGCCAGGAGTGCAGTCTACTTGGGGAGTTGGAATGGAGAGACCCAGGTACTAAAATCCCAGCTAATGTGGCAGAGGAGTTGTGGGTCTCCCCAGGGTAGGTTCTGCTGCTGTGTCCATTTAGCGATGAGGAAATTGAGGCTCAGAGCACAAGCCAGGTGCCGGAGGTGGGAGTTGGTCCGCCTTCCTCCCACCGGGACATGGTTGCAGCTGGGAGTGGGCTATGGGAGGGGAACAGGATGTGCAGCCCCGGGGCAAGGGCACAGCTGCTCCCCTCTGGTTATGAAGAGGTTAACTCGGCCCCTCCACACCTGGAGGTCAGAACCTGGCCTGCCCTCTGTCTTCTCACCACCCACCCCCTGTTTGAGGTTCTGAGAAGGTCAAGGGTGGCCCCAGCAGCTGAATTCTCAGGCTGGGCCCCTCACCTGGCAGAGTCCATAGTGGAGGGGCCTTGGTGATCTCTCATCTAGCATGGACCCTGCTCTGAGACCTGACAAAGAGCTTTTTTCATGCGCCAGCCACCCTGGCAGGGAGGGCCTGGTCTGATCTCATTTTAGAGGCAGTTGCCCCACACATAGCCCCTTGACCTTCCCATCACCTCCTCATCAGGGCCTGCACTTATTGAGTGCTTGCTATGTGCCCCTCATGGCAGGCCCACAGCACTCTGAACAGGCACAGCCCTCCCATCTTCCCAATGAGGAAACGGATTCAGGAAGAGCCACTCAGTCCACACCCCAATGGAAATGTGGGCCCTCCTATATCAGGGTCTCTCGGGGATCCCCTCTCCTGCTACTCACCTGGGTCAGGGCTAGGAGGCAGGGGCCGCAGGCTCAGCCTGACCCAGGCCAGCCAGCATGGCAGAGAGGTCCTGCATGAACAGCTTCACCTAGGGGGGAGCCCAACACGAAGTCACATCCCAGCCCCAGAGCCACTGTCCAGCCCCCATCCCTCAACACGCGGGGAGGCCAAAAGGCAGGGTGGGGACTGGAGACCCCCTCATTAAAAGAACAGCAGTGATGGTGGTTCCCAGAGGTGGTGACTGAGATCCTAAACTGTTCTGGGTTTTAAAAGCCTCAGGCCAACCTTCCCAACTGCTGCGTGAGCAGACACCTTCACAGCTTCCTTGCTGCTGTCACCTGCACTATCCAATTAGTATTTTCATTTACATCAGTCAGCTTTATTTTCTTGTACCTGGATCAGTCATATTCATTGGTTTGTGATCTACTCATCTCCATGGGTGGCTGTCCTTTATTGTATTTTAATTAACTTCTTTATGAATATGAACTTAATAAATGCCATGGATCCATTGTAAAAACTAGGACTTGAGGGTGAACTTAACAACCATCTGTGGGCTCCCCTCATATTCGTCATTGTATCAACAACTGAGAAGGAAACTTTATCTCCACCAAAAATGGAGAAAAATAGTTACCCCTTGTCCTAACTAGGGGGCAACTGGAAAAATAATGAAAATGCCATGAATAAATGAAGCTGTTACTGAATTCTGGCAGCCGCAGGACAGTGGGAGTCCCAGGCCCGGAGGCCGGGGAGTGTTAGGGGAGGTGGGAAAAGGCATAGTGTCCCTCCATGGAGCCTTTCTCCTTGACGGGCAGAGAGTTGATTTGGAAAAGAGATGATCTGGTCCTAGTGCAGTGTTGTTTACAACTAATTAATTACAACCGGTTACAGATTTTGTTCCTTCTTAATTTCCACTACTCCAGTTGGACTTAAAGAAAAGGGACTGTTTCCTGTTTACACCAAGCCTGTGTTTCTGCTAGTCTCATGTGCCACACGGTAACCAGGTAACAAGCCAGGCTGGGAAGAACAGTGGCATTGATGCATCAACCAACTAGGAGGGGCGAAGCAGATTCCCAGGATCCAGGTCTTGGTGTTCGGTTGGAATCCTGGCCATTGGGCAGAACAGGAATGGGAATGGGTTGGGGGAAAGGTGGGATGCCTCCCTTTACTTTGCCTCCACTTCTCAAAGGGGCCACGCTTTGGGTATACCCACTAGAAACAAGAAGTGTTTGAAGTCTGAAATCTCCCTCCATTGTAAACCTATGTCATGCTGAGTGCGGTGGCTCACACCTGTAATCCTAGCACTTTGGGAGGCTGAGGTAGGAGGATAACTTGAGGTTGGGAGCTTGAGACCAGCCTGGCCAACGTGGTGAAACCCCATCTCTACTAAAAATACAAAATTAGCCAGGTGTGGTGTGTGCCTGTAATCCCAACTATTTGAGAGGCTGAGGCAGGAGAATCACCAGGAGGCAGAGGTTGCAGTGAGCCGAGATCGTGTCACTGCACTCCAGCCTGGGTGACACAGGGCTAGACTCTGTCTCAAAAAAAAAAAGCCTATGTCACATTCTACGCTACACAACTCAACCTAACCCTACCCTCACCCTCCCTGCGGAAGCTGAGGCCTCTCTGTGCAGGAAGCAGGGAGCCAGAGGGCCAGAGATTAATGAAGAGCGAGTCTGGACCTCATGATTTTTTACAGTTGTTGCCACATGTGTGGGCTGTTGGATCCTGTGAGAAAAGAGGGACTCAGCACAAACCCTGGCCTTCCTGGTAGAGGGAGGACATTGAGACCAGCCACTTTTTTTTTTTTTTTCTTTTTGAGATAGAGTCTAGCTTCATCGCAGAGAGGGACATGGCTTTCTTCTGGCCACTGTCAGAGCCAAGACACACTCAGGAATCCATCCTAGACCTGGTGCCTGTGTGGTGATCGAGCCACGGCTGGGGCAAGGGCTCTGACCTTAAGAGGGCCATGCTTAACCCAGAGAAGGTGTTGCTGTGGGGTTTTAGGTACCTGATTTTTCCAAAGAGGGAGTGTTTGGGGGCTGGAGGTGCCATAAAGAGGGGCCCTCACCTGCTCTAGTTGTCCCTCCGTGTCCTCAACGTCCAGGGTGGGCGGCTGCCTCTGATGCTGGCACACTAGCTGGAACAGGTTGAGCACAGCCATCCTGCTGCGTCCCAGGAGCAGAGTCTTCTCCGCTGCTGTGTTCTGAATCTGCATCCACTTGGATTCCTGGAGAACACCCACCCTGCTCCCAATTATGGCAACTGGCCAGAGGTGGGCTGCCCTCTCTTCACAGCCACATTTTTTTGTTTTTGTTTTTTTTTCTTTTTGAGATGGAGTCTAGCTTTGTTGCCCAGGCTGGAGTGCAGTGGCCTGATCTCAGCTCACTGCAACCACCGCCTCCTGGGACCTAGCGATTCTCCTCCTTCAGCCTCCCGAGTAGCTGGGACTACAGGCGCCTGCCAGTGGACCTGGCTAATTTTTGTATTTTTAGTAGAGACAGGGTTTTACCATGTTGGCCAGGCTAGTCTCGAACTCATGACCTGAGGTGATTCGCCCCTCTCGGCCTCCCAAAATGTTGGGATTACAGGCATGAGCCACAGCGCCCGACATTCTTCCCATCCACTTCTGCCAGTCAGGCAGTCAGGTGCTCTCGGGAGAGGGTTGCAGGAGGCTCGTGCCGGCGGATAGGGCGGGGCCTCATGCCCAAAAGGGCTCGGTGATGCCTGAGATGCCCTCCTTAGTGCAGCGGACCCTCTGGGGTACGCATTGCCCCATCTGTCTTCATCAGCCCTGGCGCTCCTCCCCGCCCGGCTGTGGAAGCCTGGGGTCCCGAGCGCCCCCGACGGAGGGCGGGCCGTACCCACTGCAGCGTACGCTCCCTGGCAGCCTCCAGGCGCTCCTGCAGCTGCGCCCGCCTCTGGCCCTGTGCGAGCACCTCGTCCGGCCAGGCGTCCCGCAGCTGCTGCAGTCGCGATCGCGCCGCCTCCAGCTCCGCTAGCCGCTCGCGCTCCCTGAGCCTCAGCGCCGCCTGTGTCTGGGCCAGGCCGTCGAAGCGCGCCACCAGTTCCGGGACCTCTTGGAACTAGAGTTGGGGGCGGGGAAGGGACTCACATGGGCCTGCAGTCCCCTACCCTCCCCATCCCACCTGGCCGCCGGCGTTCCTTATTATTGGAATAATCTTTCTGGAAAGTGACTTAAATGTCAACCTCCGTTTGTTAGAGACAAGGTCTCGCTCTGTCACCTGGGGTGGAGTGCAGTGGCACGATCATAGCTCACTGTCATCTCGAACGCCTGGGCTCAAGCGATCCTCCCGTCTCCGCTCCAGAGTAGCTGGGACTATAGTCACATGCCACCACACCCGGCTAATTTTTTGTAGAGACAGGGGTCACTCTATGTTACCCAGACTGTTCTCAAACTCCTGGCTTCAAGCAATCCTCCCGCCTTGGCTTCCCAAAGTGTTGGGATTACAGGCATGAGCCACTTGCGCCCGGCCAGAGTTAGCTTTCTTAATCTTCAGTTTTCCTAGCTGTAAAATGGGGTTGACAGTTGACAATAACAGGACTCACTTCACTGGACTTTGGGGAGGATTCAAAAACAAAACGTGGGCGGTGGCTCATACCTGTAATCCCAGTACTTTGGGAGCTGAGGTGGGAGGATCGCTTGAGCCCAGGAGTTCGAAACCAGCCTGGGCAACATAGCAAGACCACTGTCTCTACTAAAAACGATAATTAAAAAAATAGCCAGGCGTGGTGGCATGCGCCTGTGGTCCCAGCTACTTGGTAGGCAGAAGCAAGAGGATCCCTTGAGCCCAGGAAGTCGAGGCTGCAGTGAGCCGCGATCGCGCCAATGCACTCCAGCCTGGTGACAAAGCGAGACACTGTCTCAAAAATACTCCAAAACTAACAACCACAAAAACTAAAGCGTATCCCTGGCATACAGTGAGCGCTCCATAAGCGATAGTTCTTGGCATGCACGCCAAGAACTCCAGTAGTTCAGCGCTACAGTAGTTCGCCGGTCCGAAGCCGTCCCTGAGCCACTCAGCGCCGCGCGGTGGCGCCGAGCTCCCAGCCTTCTTCCCGGGACTCACCCCGGGCAGCAGCTCCAGAGCTTGCTCCAGCAGGCGCGCGCAGGGCTCCAGGCGCTTAAGCCGGCGCTGCAGCCGCGCGCGTTCCTGCCGTAGCTCCTCGAGCTGGGTCCGCAGACGCAGCGCCTCCGCCTCCCGGCGGCTCGCCTGGTGTCGCTCCTCCGCCGCCCTCCGCAGCGCGCGATTGCGCCGGGCCTCGGAGTCCTGGGGAGTAAGATGGGGAGAAGGCGATTTTCAGGAATCGGGAGCCAGCGGGGAGTTCGGCACCTCCATCCTGCCCTGACATTCGCACGCAAAACCAGGGGCAGCCAGCAGGCCTGGCTCAGAAACTGGCTCTTCACCCAATTCCCCCGCCCGCCTTTTTTTTTTTTTTTTTTTTTTTTTTCTTCATCGGCGTGTGTTTCCCACCGTTTCCTTTTGCATGACGAAAACCACTTCTTTTCTTTTTGTTACCTGCCGGGCTCCTATGGGGGTGTGAGCTGCTATCCATAGACCCCGCCTCCCCCCCAGGAGTCTCCACCTACCTGCAAAAACTTGTCAAAGCGGATGAACGACCCCTTTAGCTCCCGCTCCTTCTGTTCCAGCTGTTCCCAGCGCTGTTTCAGAGCTGCCATTCTGGTGCGGAACACCTGGGGGTGAGGAGTGGCTTGTCTGTGTGGTTTTGGGGGTCCGGGGACTCCCATGCTCTCAGGTTCACACTTAACCCCTTCCACCTGTTGTCCCTAATCTGTGGCTGCTCCCTGCTCAATCCATCCGTGGCTCCCATCACCCAGGGATGAAGCCGAAACACCCTCCTCCAGCCCCCGAATGCCAGTGTCCCTGTGCTTCCCTCAGGCCTCATCTTACCCTCTCTCCTCCCATACTCTGTCTTCCGGCCGCTTAACCACCTGTGTTTGGTTCTTGCCTTCCAGCCAGTCTTTGTGTATGGTTTTTCTCTGCCTGTTTTTCCTTCCTTATCCCTTTCGCCTTTGCTGGATAAGCCGACTTGCCCTTCAGCAATCCCCAAGACGTTACTTCCTCCAAAAAACCCTCCTTGACCACCCCCATGGGGAGGTAGGGACTTCTTTTGGGCTCCCACAACCCCTGCCCAGTGCTTCTTCCCTGTAGTAGTCACCACCTGAACACTTACTTGTTTTCCTCTCCAGACTGTGAGCCCCACAAGGGCAGGGACCATTGTAAGACTTCCAGGTCTTAATGCAGTGCCCAGCACATACTCAATGCTCACAAATTTATTTGCACCAACAACTGGTCTCATTTGATCCCCATTTGACAGATGAGGAAATCAAGGCTTGGAGTGGTAAAATCACTTGTCTCAGACCTTGTCACTAATAAATTGGCTCCATCACCTCTCATCTGCCAGCTCACCACCTCGTTACAGTAGTCGGGGCTCACCTCCTTCTGGGCATGCAGGGCCTGGTCTGCATCTACCAGCTCTTGCCTCTTCTCCAGGAGACGCAGCACTGGTGGGACGTAATCCTCAGCCTGCTCTGGCAGCTTTCTGAAGAGGCTCAAGTAGGAGGTGGGGGTGAAGGAAGCATGTTTCAGGGCCCCACATCTCACCACTGTGTCTGGAGTGCCCCATTAGCCACCGGCTGGCTGTTTAATTTTTTTTATTTTTTTTTGAGACCTGTTTTTGGGTCTTGCTTTGTCACCCAGGCTGGAGTGCAGTGGTATAATCATAGCTCACTCCTGGGCTTAAGCGATCCTCCCATCTTGTCTCCTGAGTAGCTGGGACTGCAGGCGTGTGCCACCACACCTGGCTAACTTTTTTTTTTGTAAAGATGAGGTCTCACTTTATTGCCCAGGCTGGTCTTGAACTCATGGACTCAAGCAATCCTCCTGCCTCAGCCTCCCAACATGTTGGGATTACAGGCATAAGCCACCATATCTGGTTGAATTATTATTATTATTATTACATATTTTTTGAGATAGAGTCTCGCTCTGTCATTCAGGCTGGAGTGCAGTGGCATGAGCTTGGCTCACCGCAACCTCTCACCTTCCAGGTTCAAGCAATTCTCCTGCCTCAGCCTCCCAAGTAGCTGGGATTACAGGTGCACGCCACCATGCCTGGCTAATTTTTGTATTTTTAGTAGAGACAAGGTTTCACCCTGTTGGCTAGGCTGGTCTCGAACTCCTGACCTCATGTGATCCGCCCGCCTTGGTATCCCAAAGTGCTGGGATTACAGGCGTGAGCCACTGCAACCTGGTTGAATTCTTTATTCATTGAACAAATTGTCCTGAGCACCTACTCTGGGCCAGGCACCCTTGTAGGACTGGGGGTGCAGCTGTGAACAGGACAGACAAAAATCCCTGTTCCCTCATGAGCTGGCATTCTGCTGGGAGCCACAGAAAATCAAGCTAAATAATAATAATAACAATAAAGAATGACAGGACATGGTAGGCACTGAGATGAAAAATTAAGCGAACTAAAGGAATCTTTCAACAGGGAGGAGGTGGCATCTGAGCAGAGACCTGGAGGAGAAGAGGGAGCAAGCCACGTGGACGTCTCCAGGGAACAGATTCTAGGACCCTGGTGCAGCTAGGGTGGGTGCAGAGGAGGGAGGGAGGAGGAAAAAGATGGGAATTGGGAGCAGGGAGGGGCTGAGAATCCAACTGTGGTGGGCCATGGTGAGTGGAGACTTTGGCCTTGACTCTAAGTGAAGTGGGAGCGGAGTGGGGGCTTTTGGGCATGGGAGGGGTCCTTCTGGCTGCTGTGAGGAGCAAGGACAGTGGGCAGCTGCAGGAGACCAGTGGTGGTGCCACGGGGTATTCCAGAGATAGTGTGGTTCCAAGCAGGGCAGCAGTGGCGGGAGGTGAGAACAGAACTGATGGCGTGGGGAGGGGGATGAGAAATGGGTCAGAGGTGACCCCAGGAACCGGAAGGATGTTACTGCCAGGGCAGTCTGCAGGAGAGCAGGTCGGGTGGGGGAGACCAGCTCCCTGCTATGGCCAAGCCCAAAATGCCTGATACCTCTGCAGGGAGAGGCCCAGGAGGCAGTGGGGTTCTGGAGTCCAGCGCCTCGGGAGAAAGGGAGAGCAGAAGGAATGACTAATGTGTAATCATCAAGGTTTTCCCAGCCATGGTCCAGGAGGAAACCCCCCTCCCTATTTTACAGATGCTAATACTGAGGTTGGGACTTGAGGCCATGCAGCTGAACACGAAGGAGGCACAGAACAAGCTTCCTCTGTTCCTCCTGAAAATGCAGTTTTGGGGGTGGATTGGGGAGCAGGATTTCATAGAATAATTCCTTCCCAGCTTGGTTTGAATGATTTAATCTCAGCCGGATGTCATCTAGGGGTGCGGGATCAGGAACGATCCCTGAGACCATGGTGATGTCTTGGTTTCTCCCTGAGCCTCAGTTTCCTCCTCTGTGAAGTGGGGACAGTAACCCCATTGTGATCTGCCCAAAGAAGCCAGGACGCAGGAGGTGAGGAAGAAGGGATGGGCCAGCCCACGCATTCCGCCCTCCTTCTGGCCCTCCCTCCATGTCCCACTCACGTAGACAGTTTCTCTTGCAAAGCCAGTCGGAAATATTCCTCCCAGGGCACCGCCATCCTTCTGGCAATTGCCCCAGCTTTCTTTCCACCAGCTGGAGTTTTGCACAAGCCTAGGAGACCCTGGGGGTTCTGTGGAGCGTGGTGTGGAAGCCTGCTCAGCTCTCCCAGAAGGCAGCCACCAGCAGGCTCTGGTTGCCTGGCAACCAACCACACAACATTCCATTGCCTGGCTGCGGCCTGGGGAATCCACCCTTGGAGGGAGAGGGAGGGAGTTGCTGGTAAAGGAGCACCTCTGCCCCTCCTGGAAAGGCCTGTAACACCCCATCAAATCGGGTATGCAATGGAGAGGATGGGGGTACCTTGGCCAAGAAATTGCCTCTCTTAGTGCTCCACGTTTGCCCAAGCCTCTTCCTGGTTGGGTAGGATAGCCTCACTATCAGGGCCACACTTGTGTATACTCAGTCAATGGCTCGAAAGAATAATTCCTGGGCACCCACTGCTAGCCAGGCCCTGGGTGGAGTCATTCCCTCCCAGCCCTTTGAGGCGCCACTCCCTGTCCTGGTGATGGGTGATGGGGCTCCTCTGGCTATTTCTCAGGGAGCCCCCAGACTGATTAGGGAGAGAAAGGGAGACCATCAGGACCTCCTAGACCTCATAGACCAGCTTAGAAGGGATGGTCTGGACTTGGGGGATGGGAGAAGCTGAGATAGTTTGGGCATTTATTTATTTATTTATTTATTTATTTATTTATTTATTTGACATGGAGTTTCGCTCTGTTACCCAGGATGGAGTGCAGAGGCTCGGTCTCAGCCCACTGCAACCTCTGCCTCCCAGGTTCAAGCGATTCTCATGCCTCAGCCTCACAAGTAGCTGGGATTACAGGTGCACACCACCATGCCCGAGTAATTTTTGTATTTTTAGTAGAGATGGGGTTTTACCATGTTGGCCAGGCTGGTCTTGAACTCCTGACCTCAAGTGAGTCACCTGCCTTGGCCTCCCAAAGTGCTGGGATTACGGGCATGAGCCACCACGCCCAGCCAATGGTTTGGGCTTTACTGTGCGTTGGATGCTATGCTCAGCACTCTATAGTATCTAAATTAATCCCTAAGACAGCCCTGTGGGGGGTGGGTGGTACTAGGGAAAAGTACTCAGAGTAATACGAAAAGTACCCTTGGGTTTTTCAATTCAAAGCAACAAACACTAGCATCTTGTCCTCCCTGCTTCCGGTCATTTTATTTTCCATTTTAAATAATGTATTTTCCATTCAAAGAAATGTATTTTCTTAATGTAGAGCAATGCTGTTTCTTTCTTTCTTTTTTTTTTTTTTTTTTTTTTTTGAGACGGAGTCTCGCTCTGTAGCCCAGGCTGGAGTGCAGTGGCTGGATCTCAGCTCACTGCAAGCTCTGCCTCCCTGGTCCACGCCATTCTCCTGCCTCAGCCTCCCGAGTAGCTGGGACTACAGGTGCCCGCCACCACGCCCGGCTATTTTTTTTGTATTTTTTAGTAGAGACGGGGTCTCACCGTGTTAGCCAGGATGATCTCGATCTCCTGACCTCGTGATCCACCTGTCTCGGCCTCCCAAAGTGCTGGGATTACAGGCTTGAGCCACCGCGCCCGGCCGCAATGCTGTTTCAAAAACCTATAGTTCCTTTTAATCCTACACTGCTTAAAAAACTCCTAAGGATTTTGTTAGAGCATGTTTTAAAAAACAGAACTAGGGCTGGGTGCGGTGGCTGATGCCTGTAATCTCAGCACTCTGGGAGGCCAAGGTGGGAGGATTACTTGAGCCCAGGAGTTCCAGCCCAGCCTGTGTAACATAGAGAGACCCTATCTCTACAAAAAGTAATAAGATTAGCTGGGGGTAGTGGTGTGTGTCTGTAGTTCCAGCTACTCGGGAAGCTGAGGCAGGAGGATGACTTGAGCCCAGGAGGTTGCAGTTGCAGTGAGCTATGATCACTCCACTGCACTCCAGTCTGGGCAACAGAGCAAGACCCTGTCTCAATCAATCAATCAATATCTATGAAATTAAAAAGAACTAAAATAATGTACATTTTATCTTTGAGCATTTTTAAAAATTAAACTGGACACACTATCTTTCTGCACAAATTGATGTGAAGTTACAATAAGATATGATCTCATTTTTTCTTTCTTTCTTTTTTTTTTTTTTTTTTTTTTTTTTTTTGAGATGGAGTCTCTCTCTGTGACCTAGGCTGGGGTGCAGTGGCATGATCTCCTCTCACCGAAACCTCCGCCTACTGGGTTCAAGCGGGTCTCCTGCCTCAGCCTCTGGAGTAGCTGGGGATTGCAGGTGTGTACCACTGCATCTGGCTAGTTTTTTGTGTCTTTAGTAGAGACAGGGTTTTGCCATGTTGGCCAGGCTGGTCTCGAACTCCTGACTTCAGGCGATCTGCCCACCTCGGCCTCCCAAAGTGCTGGGATTACAGGCATGAGCCACCTTGCCTGGCTTCATTTTTTTCTTAATTTTTAAAAACATAAAGGTATCTTTTACAAAAAGTAAAAGTCACTTTTTCCATATACTGTTCTATGGGTTTTGGCAAATGCATAAAGTCATGTAATCACCACCACAATCAATATACAGAACACTTCCATCACCCCAAAAAGCCCTTGGGCCCCTTTATAATCAACCCCTCCCTCCACCCTAACCTCTGGCAATTTCTACATATTCTTTGTCCTTCGAGTTTTACCTTTTGCAGGACATCATACATGACATTGCTGTATACACTTAGTAGCCCTTTGAGTCTGTCTTCTTTCACTTAGTAATATTCATTTGAGATTCATTCATATTGATAGGTGTATCAGTAGCTCATTCTTTTTCATTGCCGGGTACATTATGTTATGAATACTATAGTTTGTTGATTCATTCCCCGGATGAAAGATAGGTGAGTTGCTTCCAGTTCTGGGCACTTGCAAATACAGGCTGTATTCATGTGCAGGTTTTTGTGCAAACATAAGTTTTCATTTCACTCGTGTAAATACGTCCGAGTGGTATTGCTGTGTCGTATGGTAAGTGTATGTTTAACTGTATAAAAAACTGCAAGTTGTTATTCAAGGTGGCTGTACTAGTTATATATTCACACTAGCAATGTACGAGCGTTCTAGTTGCTCCATATCCTCACCAGCAATTGGTATTGTCAGTTTTTTAAAAAGTCATTTTATGGCTGGGTGTGTTGACTCGCGCCTATAATCCCAGCACTTTGGGAGGCTAAGGCAGGTAGGTCACCTGAGGTCAGGAGTTCAAGACCAGCCCAGGCAATATGGTGAAACCCAGTTTCTACTAAAAATACAAAAATTAGCCAGGCATGGGGCCATGTGCCTGTAATCCCAGGTACTCAGGAGGCTGAGGCAGGAGAATCACTTGAACCTGGGAGGCACAGGGTGCAGTGAGCTGAGATCATACCACTGCACCCCAGCCTGGGTGATAAGAGTGAGACTCTGTCTCAAAAAAAAAAAAAAATTTTAATAGTTGTGTTGTAGTATAAATTATGGGTTTTGTTTTTTTTTTTTTTTTTTTTTTTTTTAGACAAGGTCTGGCTCTACTGCAAGGCTGGAGTGCAGTGGCACGATCTTGGCTCACTGCAACCTCTACCTCCCAGACTCAAGCCATCCTCCTACCTCAGCCTCCCAAGAAACTGGGACCTCAGTCGGGTGCCACCACGCCCAGCTAATTTTTGTATTTTTTGTAGGTGGGATTTCACCATACTGTCCAGGCTGGTCTTGAACTTGCGTGCTCAAGCTCTCCGCCTGCCTCTGCCTCCCAAAGTGCCGAGATTACAGGTGTAAGCCACCACACCCAGCCTAGATTACATTTTAATTTTTGAGATAACTGTAGATTTACATGCAGTTTAAGGACCAATACAGAGAGATCCCATATCCTTTCCACCCGGTTTCCCCCAGTAGTAACATCTTGTGTAACTACAGTACAATATCACAATCAGAAAGCTGGCATTGGTGCAACCCACTGAACTCACTCAGATTTCACCATTCTAACATGCACTCATGGGTATGTGTGTGTGTGTATATTTAGTTCTATGCAACCTTGCCACAGGTATATTTATGTGACAACCACTATAGTCAAAATACAGAACAGTTCATCACAAGGTTCACTAGAGGCATACCGGTCTCCCGCTTCTCCCCTCCCTAAGCCCTGACAACCATTCCTCTGTTCTTCATCTCCATAATTTTGACATGTCAAGGATGTTAGAGAAATGGAATTGGCCAGTCACAGTGGCCACACCTGTAATTCCAACACTTTGAGAGGCCCAGGCAGGAGCATCGCTTGAGCCCAGGAGTTTGACACTAGCCTGGGCAACATGATGAAACCCTGTCTCTACAAAAAAAACCCACAAAAGTTATCCAGGCGTGGTGGCACATGCCTGCAGTCTCCGCTACTGGGGAGGTTGAAGTGGGAGGATCACTTGATCCTGGGAGACAGCATCTGCAGTGAGCCATGATCCCACCAGTGCACTCCAGCCTGGGTGACAGAGCAAGACTCTGTCCCAAAAGGAAGCAAGGGGAAGGCAGGGTAGGGGTGGGGGAAGGGAGTGGAGGGGAGGGGAAGGGAGCAGAGGGGAGAGAAAGGGAATCATTCAATACGTAACCTTCTGAGATTGGCTTTTTTCACTCCGCATAATTCTCTTGAGCTCCATCCTGGTTGTTGCATGTATGGATAGTTTGTTCCTTTGGATTGCTGAGCAGCAGGCCATGGTGTGGGTGTACCACAGTTTGTTTAACCATTCGGGCTGAAGGACATTTGGGTTGTTTCCAGTTTTTAAGAATAAAGCATAAAGCTATTAAGAGTAAAACTGGGTCAGGTGCAGTGGCTCATGCCTGTAATCTTAGCACTTTGGGAGGCTGAAGCAGGAGGATCTCTTGAACCCAGGAGTTTAAGGCCAGTCTGGACAACATAGAGAGACCCTGTCTCTCCAAAAAAAAAAAAAAAAAAAAAATTAGCTGGGTTTGGTGGCACAGGCCTGTGATCCTAGCTACTTGGGAGGCTGAGGCAGGAGCCTGTGAGGTCAAGGCTGCAGTGAGCTGTGATCACATCACTGCACTGCAGCCTGGGTGACGGAGTGAGACCCTGTCTCCAAAATATATACATACATATGTAAAATATATATACATATAAATTATATATATAAAGAATGAATAGATAGATAGATAGATAGATAGATAGATAGATAGATAGATAGATGCCATGAAGTTTCATGTACTACTTTTTGTGTGAATCTATGCCTTCATTTCTTTGGGATAAATGCCCAAGAGTGCAATTGTTGGGCTGTATGGTAAGTGACATGACATTTCATTTTTAAAGAATCTGCCAACCAGGCACAGTGACTCGCGTCATTCTCACAGCCAGCCAGGCTGCAACAGAGTGAGCCGAGCATTTCTCCCAGCACTTTGGGAGGCTGAGATGGCCAGATCACCTAAGGTCAGGAGGAGTTTGAGACCAGCCTGGCCAACATGGTGAAAGTCCCCCATCTCTACTAAAAATACAAAAATTAACCTGGTGTGGTGGTGCACACCTGCAATCCCAGCTACTCTACTTGGGAGACTGAAGCAGAAGAATTGCTTGAACCCAGGTGGCAGAGGTTGCAGTGAGCTGAGATCGCACCACTGCACTCCAGCCTGGGGGACAGAGCAAGACTCCCTCTCAAAAAAAAAAAAAAAAAAAAAAAAAAATTAAATTAAATTAAAAACTAAATAAAAACTCTCATATTCTTTTGCATAGGGGCTGCACATTTTACATTTCCACCAGCAA